AAAAAAAAAAATCTATGTTCAAAGAAATTAGTTGAGGGGTATTTGATCATTGTGGGACCAAATGGTAAGACCCTTTGATTTGAGGGATGTATGAGCAATTTCAAAGATTTGAGGGACTAATATGTAAAATAACTTAATTTATTCTCTTTAGGTATGTAGGTAATATATACATTTTTTAACTAGGGCAATTTTCTTTCAGGTGTTATCTTTATCACTGGAGAGGAACCTAAGGCCGAAGTATCTTTATCTTGTTAATGAACTTCGTAATGAGGTGCAATCCTTGACGAAATATCCCATGTACTTGAGCTTGTCTCTAGATCAAAGGATTCGACCACGTCACAGGTTCTTGGTTTCCCTGAAGAAAGCTCCAAAAGGACCTTTCCCTCTAAGCTCATTTGTTCCTACTGATGAGTCTTTCTGTCAGCAGTGGGCTGGGACCAGTTTAGATAAGTACTTGGCTTTTCGACAGAGGCTGCTGCTGACAGATTTTGCAAAGAAGTACGAAAAGAAAGGATACTGAGGCTTAACAAGCTCTTGAAGGAAGGTTTTAGGTCTTGGCCAGCTATGAGCATCAAATTTTTGTGAAGCTATGTAGGAGAACACCGTTTGGATACTAACTGCTACACTACGGTGAGTTTCAGACTTTACTCAATTAGAAGCAGCTTCGTTGTTTTTTAATACGATTTTTGAGATGTTGATCCCCTCGTTCTTATCTATTTTGTAATCAGTCTCAAAACTTGATATTATGAGTCCTCCTGAACTCACTCGTTGCCCAAATTAGTCCATTTGCTTTCAATCTTTTAGGTTAACTGGCAACTGCTATATAAAGTAACAATAGCTGGTTTTTGTTTTCCCATTATACCTTAACCCCTTATTTTCTCACGGTCATTAAGGCAATGACTCCTCCTACACCCATTAAAATCCATACTGTGTTATATGCTCTTACGTGCACATTCTATACCCAATGTGCAAATTTTAATGGGTTTAGAAGGATTCGTAGCCTTCATGACTGTTATAAGTGGGTGTTAAAACAGGGGTATAGTGGAAAAATAGAAAAACTAGCTGTGATAACTCTATATTGTGGGTAAACTATGATATTCAAACTAAAGGGACTAATTTGGGATAATCGATGAGTTTTGGAGGATTTACTTTATAATATCAAGCTTTGGGTAACTTATTTCAAAATAGATAGAAATTTGGGGAGCAGTATCTTAGAAGCCGTTTTCAATGCCGTAGATCCTTTTTCATATTGTTGAGTGTTTCAGCACTGATTTTTCTATTAAAAAAAACATCGTGTACGCTTATTAGTGTTGGTTTGTTATAAGTTTGACCGGCATAAGAAGAGCATATACTTGAGACGCTTCAATATCTATCAAGTCAAATTGCATGATATCACCAGGTTATTCTTCTTAGTCAAGTCTGAAATTAGGAAAAGTGATATAATTTTCTAATTGGCTCAATTTTTTTAATAATAAAGGTGTACACTGCTTCACTCAATTCATTTTTCTGTATTGTTCCCTTTCAGGCTTGACTGCTGCTCAGAGAGAGAGAGAGTAATCTGACTTGATAAGGTACTTTTTTTTTCCATCTTTTAACACAATTGTAAAAATGAAGAGCTAAGGTTCAGTAACCCATAAATTCCAACTTGGTTGTTTTTCAATATATTTCATACGCATATGATGTATTTTCTGTTCCACCTATAGTTTTTCCCCCTACAATTGCATGAAATGAAACTGTAAATTACTTGATGGTGTGTGATTTTCTGCGGATTGTGAAAGCTTGTTTCCTTCTCTCTGTGGCTTCCCAGATTGAAAATGGTGAAGTTTCATGCATTTTGAGAAATCATTGGCTTTTATGATTTGATATCAAATTTTTTACAAAAGTATACCGGCAATATGTAACTCTTTACAAAAGTAATATGTGACTAGCTAGTGTTAATGTCGCACATTTCAGTCCTCACCCTTGACTTCGATTAAGAGTTACTCCCTTCAGCTATATTCATCTTCATGAACTTGAGATATACATAATATTCTTCATTATGTCTCATAAGATGATAATTCACACGGGTACGAGAGGAAGACACTGAGTATTTTTATTTTCTGTTTTTTAAATTTGATTGTTTGTTCTTCTTTTTTATTTTAATTTGATTGTTTGTTCTTGATGCGTTTTTTTCTTTTTTGAATGCTGTAAGTTAGGCTTAAATCTGAAATCTGTCGTTAGCCAGAAGCCCACAAATAAGAGCATTAGTTATTTGGCTTATTGGGCCTAAATCGTTTCCATCCAGGGCCGTATATTATCATATATGTTGGGTGGATTTGGCCCAATCTGTACATTATCTGATTTAAACTCTTTTTCCCCCTTTCCTTTCTTTCTCTGTTTTTAATGTATTTTGTTCCTTTTTTTTTCCTCACTATTGGCTGCAAATACCTATGGGTCCTACAAGATCCAGAACGCAATCCACAGCAGATTGATTTTGCAAGAAAACATCCTGGTTGTGCTGAGCTGTCCAATTTGCATTTGGGTTAGCTCTGGGACCCAGATACCAAATATCTCTAGCTGGTGGCCTCTATGTATTTATGATATTTGTTTTGGATAATGAGATACTTGTAAAGAAGAAAGTGATTGAACGTGAAATGATTTTACAAAAGCCGTGGGACCCACATGCTAATGGGGACAGCTTCAAACTCAGTTGTCAAAGCCCATGACTATTTTTATTGGATCATCATATACTGCACCAATATCACAAATTACGCGGTACATCAAAAGAGATGAGACCGAGTCTCTTGTACCCCCTAAACTTTTAAACTTCAGTTAGATGCTCATCATGCAGAGACCAAATAATTATGTCATTAACAAATCTCTTCAATTTCGAAAATGATCTGAACAGAACATGTAGGCAAAAGTATAGAATTTGTGGTTCAAGCAGGAAAAGGTTATTAGAGTTCACGACTTCAAGGTAAAGTTCCCAAAACCTCTTTTGCTTGGCAAAGATGCAATAACAAGATGGAATAAAGGAGTTCACAACAGATAATATTGAGTAATCATCAACATAGTTTCTTTTGTCACATACAAGATTAAGAGCATGCTTGATAACTTTGGATTATAATCCATGTTGTTTGGTAAATTTAGCGGATTATAATTTATTTTTAATAGTGGAATGTTTGGTAAATTAGTGGATTATGATCCATCATTAATGTCAAAATGACCAAAAAGTTTATGACTTATAATCCATCGAAAGGGATATCGCTTGAAATTTTATGAATGACGAGGGGTATACATCTCTTTTACTTTGTCAAACTTATAGGCCCCGTTTGGCAAAGGGTTAATGAAGAGGGGTTAAAGAGAAGGATTAATGTACTTAGCCCATTTGATAATCCGAATGATTAAATTATTAACCCGTTAAATAAGTTTTATTTTAGCCCTTATGATCAGTTTTATTGTTTGGGAATAACAATGATTTTGACTATTTTCTTTATAATTAGAAGGGTTAACTCTTATTCCATCTAAATAGGAGTATTAGTAAACCCCTCATTTTGAGGGGTTAACTCATTTTAACCCCTCTAGAGGGGTTAACTTAACCATTCTATATTTTTTATGTTTGGCAAATTATGGAGGGTTAACTCACTTTAACCCTTATATAGATTTGTTGTGTTTGGCAGGTTAAGAGAGAGGTTAAGTTAAGAAGGGGTTAAGTCTCTTTAACCTCTCTCTTAACCCTTTGCCAAACGGTACCATAGCTTATAACCCACTACAAAATAAGGGAGGATATCATAGCTAAGTTTGTAAGTTAGAACAAGTCACTTGCCAAACATCTTAAAGTCACCTATAAATCGAAAAAATGCTTTACAAACCACTTTTACCATGTGTCAACATCTATACAGTAAATTTTTTTTCCCCTGGCTCAAGTGCTCATCTCTCTTGTTTATTTGCAAACAGCCTTTTCCGTTTCTAGATTAAACAACATTTTCTACCTTTCTTTTCTTCATTCCTTCCATTATGCTTGGTGTCATCATTTCATTTCATTTCTCGCTAGTCATTGGCATTCTCTCTAGAGCATAAATGACTTTTTCACTGCTGTTATTGGTTTTCAAAGTTGGATTGATTCTCAATTCTCGTTTTCAGGAAAAAGCAGAAGTTAGTTGGAAGTAAAATATTGAAAGGATGTGCGATGTTATAAGAACAAAATCGCTAGATACAATAAGACCTTTTGAGATATCAAGTGGTTTTTGCAACAAGTCAAATAAGAGATGATTCTGCATAAGCTGAAGTTTTGGATTCCTATCTTCTTCTTCTTCGCTACCAAAAAGTAAATAGAGGCCACTATTTTTTACCACGGTCATTGATTTGTGCAGTGTCTAGTTATGATTCGTCTTTAAATGTAAATTAGGAAAGAATGTGATCCATAGGTGTATGGTTAGTGTTACATTTAGAATGAACCAAAACCTTCAACAAGACAAGTTTACGATTATGATAAAAATAATTGTTTCTCCATTACTTTCTTTTTGACGGTGAAGAGAATCCAAATTTCAAGTTTTTTTATTTATTTCTTACTTCCCCATTAGGTGTTTCTTTTTATAGGAATAAACGATTTTTCGGCTCTCCACGCACTAGAAGTTGTGATCATTTATATAGAAATAAATTTGCATCACCTACGAACAAAAATCATTTTATGAATTAACTCATTAGCTCTGTATACATTTTCCAGATACAGTGAAGGATAATATATTGTAGGATTTAGGAGCAATAAATTTCGGCATTCTTTATGAATCAACTCATTCTACCAAGATGGTGAAATCAAGGATGATACGACGAATGCTTCTAAAATCCTATATGGTGATAAAATACACATGAAACTTAATTAAGGTAATATATTCTTCTATTTGTTCCTACACTTCGATGTCAAGATCCCGCCGTCCCTGAGAAGTAATTTTCCTCCCTCTGAGACACAAGAATGAAACTTGAGTTCGCGGCAGAATTTTGCACGAAAAATGACAAACCAAAGACTTGAGCGGGATAAAACCTAATCCAAGTATTCACTGCATAAAAAAACACTGAAACCTAGATTATGAATGATAAAAAAGTTACATGAACGGAATCGCCAGGAGGAATAAATTCCAAAGGATTATTCGCAGATAGACCCCCTGTACTATCACCCGATTATGAATATACCCCCTTCAGTTCTATTATTACAGATAGACCACCTGAATGAGATTTGTTTCAACTCTTTTTACTCTCAGGAGGTCTATCTATCATCTGAGGGCAAAAGAGTCAAAAAAGATTCAATCAAGTGGTCTATCTGCAACAATAGAACTACAAAGGGTTCATCGAGTATTGGCGCTAGTTAGGTGATTGTGCCCCCCAAGTTATGAACCTATCTAATTCTCTTATCTCTAACCAAAATAACCATATGACTATAGTTAATTAAATAGAAAAAAATAGGTGGAAGATCATAAAAATAGTAGCAATTAAGAAAGAATACTGAACTATTATAAGAAACATTGCAAATTTAACCTATATAAAGATCCAACATGCCAATCCGAAAATGAAAAAAAAAGAGAAGATAGTGAGTTCTCACCCTCTCGGAACAACATCAATTATACTCATCGTTTGCAACTGTTGAAGAATGTGGCGAGCAACAGCTCCACTGCTTTTGCAAAAATGCGGTGGACGGCTTCCATTTTTTTTGCGGCCTCCATGGATCTTCTGAAAACCACCGACTCCAATGCCCTGCCTCAGATAGATTTTTCTTGCCATAGATGCTGTTGTTAGATCTAAATAATAAAACTTAAGATCTAAAACCATAAAGCCATGATTAATTCGAAGAGATTAACAAGAATCAAAAGAGCGCAAGCTTATACCTGAATCCATAGATGAACCTTGAGATGGGTTTTGGATCTTCTAACCTTAGGGTTTCTCTATAGCCGAATTTCTCTCTAGATGGGGGTAAAGAGAATTAGAGAATGTAACCCTAGATTAGGGACCATAACCCCTTATTTATAGATGTTGTAAATTTACAATTTGGCCCCTCAACAAATCACAATTACAACCTGGTATCTGCACATATAACCCCAACTTGTTAGATCTAAATCAAAACTTGAGATCTAAAACCATATAGCCATGATTAATTCAAAGAGATTAACAAGAATCAAAAGAGCGCAAGCTTATACCTGAATCCATAGATGAACCTTGAGATGGGTTTTGGATCTTCTAACCTTAGGGTTTCTCTATAGCCGAATTCTCTCTAGATGGGGGTGAAGAGAATTAGAGAATGTAACCCTAGATTAATGACCATAACCCCTTATTTATAGATATGATGTTGTACATTTGTAATTTGGTCCCTCAACAAATCACAATTACAACCTGGTATCTGCACATATAACCCCATGACTTATTTAAATACCCATTAACCCAAATTAATTAATCACTTTAATGGGTTATCCTGAAGGATAACAATACACATTGATTAATCATATGTGTCCACAAATAGATTTATTAGATTAAATCCAACAATCTCCCACTTGGACACCATATGATTCCTTAAATTGTGTATAACCTTATGAGCTCAAAATTGCTATCACTGAAAAAGGTATTTCCGAACAATCTCGTCCATTGACTATATCAATATAGGATCAAAGCGGCCTTCGTCACATTTATCGTGACTCGACCCATCAATGGTCACATATACCAATACAATCAAATGACATAGATCAATCATGGATGTGCAGCATGAAAATTACATGCAATGTGATCAGTACATGTCTATTTTCAACTGGTCCTACTTTAGTGAGGTCAAAACCAAACATAATGTAACAGAGTGTCTTAACTGAATACTTTATTCTGATCAGACAATACAACCAAACATAAAGCATCACAAATACAAAATCCCACTAAAATATAATATCCCCAAATAATACCACACCCATATGAGCAGTATGCTCATGAAAGACCTTGGGTGGCAATCCCTTAGTAAGAGGATCAGCTATCATGGAGTTTGTCCCAATGTGCTCTATGGATATCTGTCCACTCTGTACCCTTTCTTTCACAACCAGGAACTTAATGTCAATATGTTTTGACTTAGTTGAGCTCCTGTTGTTATTGGAATACATTACTACAGATTTATTGTTACAATATAACTTTAGTGGTCTTTTAACATTTTCCAGAATGCGCAGTCCCTTGATAAAATTTCGTAGCCATATTCCCTGATTGGATGCCTCATAGCAAGCTACAAATTCTGCTGCCATAGTGGAGGAAGCTACTAGTGTTTGTTTGACACTTTTCCATGATATAGCTCCTCCTGCTAACATATAAATGTAGCCTGATGTAGACTTTCTGCTATCTTGGCATCCAGCAAAATCAGAATCAGAATACCCAATGACCTCCAGCTGTTCTGATTTTCTGTATGTGAGCATATAATCTTTTATTTTCTGAAGATACCTCATAACACTTTTGACTGCTATCCAATGATCCATACCAGGATTGCTTAAATATCTGCCTAACATCCTAACAATGTACGCAATATCTGGACACATACATACCTGAGCATACATTAGACTTCCTACAGCCGAAGCATAAGGAATCTTCTGCATTTCCTGAATTTTAAGATTACCTTTAGGGCACTGATTGAGACTAAACTTGTCTCCTTTAGCCACAGGGTTGTCTCCTGGTCTGCAATCTTGCATGCCAAACCTTTTAAGTACTTTATCGATATAGCTCTTTTGTGATA